GTAATCTGTGTGGTATTAATTCGTATCACTGAACAGAGGTATTAAATCCTCTCTTTAAAAGTTATAGAACAAATTGAATTCTAACCACTGCTAATTCGTTTAATCGGATATTTTACGTGATAAAATACATCGAAGGAAAGAGAAAATTAAAAATGATTGTGCATGCAAAAAAAAAAAATACATTTTAAGTATTTTAACAAATGCTAAAATACTTTTTTAATGCTTATTAAAATATCATGATTTTTAAGTAGGAATGTATAAAAAGAGATAAGAAAAATTTGAAACAAATTGGAAACAAATAAAGATATTCTTATTTCGTTTAAATGAAGTAATTAAATCATAGGCAAATATTATGTATAATTGTAATTATTATGTAATCTATTATATAATTGTTTATAATTGAAAACGCATTTCTTAGACACAAAAGACAAATTGAATTTTTTGTATTTTATTATGTTAAATATTATTATTTAAAATACATAATATTTCTTTACGTAACTATAAAATTTATTTATAATATATTTTATATTGTTGAAAAAAAAAAAAGAAAGATATACACAATTATCTATTTTCCTCGTTCTCTCTACGTAAAAAGAGATAATCTAATGGAATACCAGGAAACTAGTAGACAAAAAAATATTAATAATTCAATATTGGATAAACAATTATCTTGCTCCATTACAAATATCTTGCTTAAGCAAACGATTGGCCTTGTTTACGATAATTTACTTGTCTCTTGAAAAAAAAAAAAAACAAGTACAATGATTCGTCGTAACTATCCCGATTATTGTACGATCCCCTCCTCCAACCCATACCCCAATTTCTCTCTGATCCTTCCACCATCCCTTCCCTTCATCCACCCCATTTTCTTACCCGCTCGTTTAATCTTCCCTGCATGCTTATCCGCCTGTTCATGGATACAACTTCCTACTATGTAATAACTTCCTGTTCATTACACTGGTATTAGATAATAAGTCATAAAGATAACCCAATTCGAAGGTTACATCGATATCGAAAAACGTGTAGTTGAAAAATTCTTTATCACTGGGGAATAACTCGTGAATATCGTGATCGTCTATTATCATCTTCGATATCGGTTTTTATTTTTTACTCGAATTATTGGAACGACAATTAAAATGAAGAACGCTCGAAAAATATATTTTCTTCCTAGTGGAAAAGGGTAACAAAAAAAATTGAGTGACTTGAGTAATTTCTTCGATGAAAGAGTAAATGTAAGTAATGATATTGCCAATAAATAAAGAAGATATAAAACATCGTAAAACGTTTATCTAAAAAATGTGTGCAATTCGAACGTTTTGGATCACATCCCACTATGAAATCCAGGAAATTGAAGAAAATTCGAAATGTTTTCGGGGCAAAAGACAAATCGTATCAAATATCTTACTCATTTTCAATACTGTCTGTGAAAATATTTCACTGTGATAATATCCCTATACAGGTATTCGAGGCAGCAGCTGTTGTTATTTATCGCGACTATGCGGATGAAACGAAGGATTTACACGAGAAATTTTGTTACATCTATCCCTATCCTATCCCTTATTTCACGTAGGTATTCTCCTTTCCCCTTATCCCATGTCTCGCGATCCATTTCACGATCGACCAACACGATAACACCGTCTTCCCGCTCACCCATCGCATAACATGCAATAATTATAAATAATTTATTCGCGCGTGCAATTATCGCCTCCAATTATTTTAACCGATTAAATCTGATGATAATTGGAAATAAGTGTTTAACGTGCTAGAGAGAGGGGGAGGAGAGAGAGAGAAAGAGAGAGAGAGAAGAAAAAAAAGAAAAAGAAAAACTTAAAGGTACAAAGTTTCTACTTAAAAATAATCTCTTATAGACCGTTTGAATTATAATCATATCCGCTCGTACATAAATAAAACATTTATGTACACGGTGTAGTTGCAACGTGCCGTATATCCAGACGTGATTTGCAATCCACGTGACTGCAAATATCCCGACGTCAACGTTGAATAGCGGTCGAGCAATTGAAAGATGCATAGAAAGAAGTCGGTGACCCCGATCGTTTATACGTGACCCGAGACTTTGTCGTTTGGCCCCCGTTTTAATGCAATTACACGAGAATTCGAAAACGGTGGTACTAAGATTTGGGGGGAGGAGGAGGAGGAAGGAGGAGGAGGAGGACGTCAGGGTTCGAAGAGAGGAGGAACCACCCGTTCTCTCGAGACGTGAAGGATGAAGGGGGAGGGGAAACGATAGCGGAAAAGAAAACGGAGAAGGAAAGGAGATTCAATTAGATCCTTAATGGAGCTTGTATACGAGACACTTGCAGCCACTTGCGGTCGCTGGACCGAGCGGCACGACTCGCAATGACCTGACCAGGATTCCTCCTCCCTCGCCCCTCCTCCAAGAGGCGAGACGACCGTCGTCCGTTGCCTCTTTCTCTTGCCAAACTTTGGGCATCTCTCCAAGATACCGCAGAAATCGCATACCATGTTAGAAATTCAGGCGGTTTGAACTTGGCTCGATGCACAGCGCTAGCTGAATTCCTTGCTGCACAAGCACGTGAGATTGGCTAACTCCTGGGGAGCTATTCCGGAATTCTTGCAGGCATTTTACCCTGAATTTTTTCGACCGAATTTCCGTGTCGCGCGGAAAAATTGTTATCGATTAACCAGCGAGGAGAGGAGAGGAGGAGGAACGCTTCCCTCAAGTGCTTTGCGCTTGTAAACTCTAAGGTTGTTGAATCTTGTGGCTGGTAATGCGATGGTAATTGCGATAAGGGTGTGCAAATGTAAATAAGGATAGAAAAGAAAGTTTTCTATGCGAAAGGAGGCAACGAGCACGATTCGAGACAATTTTAATTTCGTTCGTAAATCTTTGATCGAAGATGAAAATAATTCGATACGATCGAAGGGATAATCTTTCTTGCGATATAATAAAATACGTGAAAATGAGAACGGTTTGCATTACATTTACATTATAAATATCGCATTTATGTAATATTAAAAGAAAGAAAGAAAGAAAGAAAAGAAAAGAAAAGAAAATAAGACGCATTATTATAATCGGTTCATTAAAAATATTGTCTGATAATTTACATTTTAAATAAATTTTTACCAACGCAACAACGATATATATTTATATAACGAATGAAATGCAATTCTAAATAGATTCGCAATGCAAAATGAAAATGAAAGGTGAAGTAATGTCAATGATACGTAATGTCATTGAAATTGTATCGTTGATTTGATGTTTGAAGTTCGTATAAAAATTCATTGGCAAAATCGTTTCGAGATACGTAAGATTCTTTGAGATCGTTGTATCATTGGAATTTAAAGTTATTTAAAGTGAAGGAAGTGATTGTATTATTGAAACCAACTAAAATCCAAAAAAAAAATTGAAAATCAGGATAAGAACAAAAAAAAAAACAAAATATGAACAATAAAAATGATAATAATTTTTATACATCGTTTGAGGTTGTATTAGAAGATTAAGAAAATAGAAAAATAATGTAATTTCAAGTAATTAATGCTAAAGTATATATTATTCAAAGAAAAAACTTTATTTCGTACTTACCTGATTTTATTATTTTTCTTTAGCACAAAAGATAGACAACGAAAGATAACATGTAAAATTTTGAACGGCACGAAGTAAAATATTCACTTTTCATGCGAAAATCAACCGTAAGAGAAAGATCTTAGAACGACATCAGAGAAACAACTGTACACTCGATACAAATTGTCGACAATATGTACGACATATATTATAAGGAAAGATTAAGACGCAGAAAACTGTCAGAAACTGCAGAAAAATATTTCATAGAGAATACAATATTTTTTATTTCACTCGCACATACGCGTAATAAACATGTAAAAACATGTTTCATCAGATATATGAAATGTAATTCATTCTTAAAGAAGAATCGTAATCAAATTTCATTTACTTGTTCGTTTTTCTGCAAGATCACATATTAATATTATATGGAAATAATTTTTTATTATTGTTTAAATTATATAATTTAAGCATCGTCATTTTTATTATCTCTTCGCTAATTCCATTATAAATATAATAGGATTGTAGTATATTAATTAAATCGAAAGCCGGAGCAGTTGGATAAAAGCAAAAATATTTAAAATATAGAGACGGAGATTATTTGATATTGTATTTAATTTTGTAATTTATTCCGCTTACTGAATTTAATTGGCGCGACAATTTGCGCGAATACTCACATACAGAGCCATCTATCGATTACCGTAAGAAATATTTCAAATAACTTTTTTAACAGATATATAACTCAAAAATCGTTACGTAAATATATATGTGCATGCAAATGATATTTGAGAAAGCTTGTATCGAGAAAACACAAAATTGAAAAAATTATCTGTACAAATCAAATTGGATGGTATAATGAGTGAACGAATCTCGTATATTAACGTAAATGTTTCGATCGTAAATCTAAATATTTTCATATATTACACGTTCGTGATATAATTAATTGTATTTAATTATATTTTAATTGACTTAACCGATAAAGAAGATTCCTTTAACTGACATATTGTAAAGAATTGTACTTTAAGCGGCAAGAATACCTAATTGTTCTTAATTAGACTAAATTGAAGGTTACCGGGGGACAAGTAAATGTGAATCAATCCATGGCATCGTCCTTCTCTCAACCAATCGTGAGGATCGTTTTTACCGACAACTACCAATCATAAGGCAAAGCTTATCGGCGCTACGAGCGCCAATTCAATGTCCTAGATTAAACAGACTGTAATCGTTTTGTTTTTCTTGTCCTGATATTCGTTAAAATTTCAGAAAACATTTATTTCGATCAACTTCTTTTCTCATTAATTCAATAAACATTCTTAAACATTTCATATATCTGATGTTGTTTCACGTTCAATCAATTTCATTGTAATATTTATTAAAGAAAGTAATAGATATTAAAATATTAAAAAGGGACGAAAGTATATATATAGCGAGAAACGTGTTATAAGTAAAAAGTACTTACCTCGGACGTAGGGACGAAGGCACTAGGTCCATCGAAAGCTGGCACTGGTACTGGAAGTCCTCTATCCTGTAATAATAATAAATATCTCAATCGTTTAAAATCTTATTATCTCCTCGATGGCTAATGGCTAATTTTTCTGAAAATTAGGAATTTTCAACGTTAGCCCGGCTAGCTCAGTCGGTAGAGCATGAGACTCTTAATCTCAGGGTCGTGGGTTCGAGCCCCACGTTGGGCGAGATTTTTTCTCTGTTATTCAAAGAATAAAACGAGCAATGTATCATAAAAATATATAAAAGAAAAATCTATGACTCATCGTGATAAGAAAAAAAATATTTAATGCAGCTTTTGTTTGAACCTTCGGTTTTATAATCAATTATGTATCTCACGGTACAAGTCATAGAGAGAAGAATAACAACTATTGATCAGGCTTTATACATGGTAGGGCTTGTTGTGTTATTGATTATAATAAAAAACAACTTCCAAAACGCAAAGAGAACACAAATAGGCGATACGCGCCGCGCGCGGGGCTATAAATATTAGAGAAGAAGAAGTTTAAATACGTTTATTAACGAACATAGCAAAATGAACGAATCCAAAAAAAAAAAAATGGTTAACGCACATATTTTCAAGCCACGATTCTCTCAACCTATTGTTACATAAATAAAGATAATTAAAATAACTCCATTAATAACGCAAAGTAATCAAACTCCGATGCATAAAATAACACGTACGTATCGGAAAATCATTATTATTATTATGATAGTTTTCGAGTTCTTTGTATAAAAACTTTACAACGCGTGTATCACATTACACGTATCACAATTTTATCACATCGAGAGAATGAATTAAAATAAAAATATTACGTTGATATTTATTTTTCGAGTTATAGGCAATTTAAGTTTGCAAGTTGTAAACGCCTGTTACACCAACCAAGTAACAGCCGGCTACTTACGTACGTAACAATCAAAGATTTAATGTACGCTCACCTTAACCATCTCCAGAATCTCCGCGCACTTGATCCTAACATTCTGGAAGGGGCAGTTCACGCTAAGCCTCAATATCACCGGTAGATGCAGCGTCACCAGGCTCAAATACTTATTCGCCTGTGCTTGCCTCGGCCCATCCAGAGCATTGCCCAGATTAAGCATCCTACCGACGTCTCCGGGCGTGACGTCAGGACTCTCCAACACCCTGCCACTCTTCGAAGAGACATCTTCGTCCTGGGAGAGGGGTCTCTTGATCTGTCCAGCGCTGAACTTCCGTTCCTCGTTTTTCCGCAAATAATCCTGCGGCAACTCGGCACGAGTGCAACGGATCCGGCCGTCGTCCAACAACGCCTCGTCCTGATAGATCTCGAAGTTCTTCAACTTCGTGTCCTCGGCACGATTGTCGTCCTGTCTGTGATATATCTCGTTCGCGTTCTCGTTCTCGAAACCGTCCAGAGTGTTGAACACGACCCCGTCCCGGTTCCTGATCGTCATCTCGGTCTCGTCGAAAGAGACATCGTCCACGCTGTCGTAACAGGGGCGTTCCCGCGGCAGGATGTCACCGCCTTCGGGCGGAAGTTCAAATTCCTGCGGTCGAAGTTCGCGCCCAAGTTCTCGTCGAATTTCGGGCTCTTCCCGTAGATCCTTATATCGGAGTCGAGCTCGTCATCCTCGAGCTGCTTCTGCTTAGCTCCTTTCACCTTCACGTAGTTCTTCGCTCTTGGCCTATCCTCCAGACACGCCTCGTTCAATCTCTCGCTCGAGGACGAGCCGAGGTATTTCCTCTCGCTCTCGCTGCTCGACCCGAATCTCGCCGCCTCCGACGTGTCCTTAAACCTTAGACACCTGTCCTGAGAATCGATCTTGAAACCTTTGCCCTCGTCGGACGAGGTCGAGTGGCCCGACCTGTAACTCTCCACGTCGGCCACGTATCTTCTCCTCTCGTTCGGCGTGCCGTACCCCGTTTCGTTTCCAACGCGGCCGTCCACGCAATCGAACGAGCCCGATGGATATCTCTCGGAACAGTCGAGGCTGGTATCTTCGAGGAATGCGGGATTCTCGGTGACGCTCTGGGGAAAGAAACCCTCCGTCCTGAACGTGTCTTGAAGCAGAGGCTGCTGGATAGGTGGCTGGACGTTCTTCGGTGCCGACTTGGTCGGTGATCGCTCCACGCTCATGTCGTATCTTCGCGTGAAAGGTGAAATGAAGTGTCTATTAGAGCTTCGCGAAAACTTAAGTTATTAAAAATGGTCAGGAATAAAAATTCGTGCGGAAGTGAATGGAAAATGTTATTCGCTTGTATAATGTTATTCGACAGACTCTTCTCTCTTTCTTTCTTTCTTTCTTTCTTTCTTTCTTTCTCTCTCTCTCTCTCTCTCATTTAATAAACCCTGATCGATTATTATGTATCGGTGAATAAATCTTTCCAGTATAATATACACGTTGAAACGTACGCGCCACTATGTTATTATCCATTAAGTTTTTTTTTTTTTTTCGAAGACGATACGGAGAATAAATATTGAATTCCAAGAAAATTATTAATACCAACGATCTTAACGGTCGAACGCTGGAAATTTATAGACATTATGATATACGGTGGGAATATTTCATCATTTCATTTTGTTTTTATCGTTAAACAAAAAAAATCAGAATAATTATAAAGAAAAAAAAAAAAAACAATCGCGCGCTTCTCATTTAATCAACTTTTCCTATCTATATATCAATGCATCGAGTAGTAATTTTCAGTGTTTTTTCAAATAAATATATATACTTTACATCCATCGAAACAAGACATATAAATAAAAATAGCTTGGATTCACACACTGGAAAACTGCAACACTGTTACAAAATCTAGACTCGAAATATACATATATATATGCGCACGATTTAAATTAATACGAATCAACGATTCATCGTATAACACATATATATTTAACTCACTGCATTACCGTATATATATATATACACTTATCGCAAAGCTGAACGACAAATGATAGGAACGATAAAATATCGACGCATGCAATAATTATTGTATCGATGCTTTTACATATACAGCACTCACCTTCCATCCTGGCTCTTGAACTTGCCACCCAGGTTCTCCGAATCCTCCATCTCACCGGTGTCGTCCGAATGATTCGGACTACCAACCCCTCCGAGCCATCCCTCGACCGTGTTCCTGGCCGCCGCCAAGGCGATGTTTCTGGCAGCTTCATCCCTCGCGCACAAAGGCGCTAAAAATCTGCTAACGATCTCGACCTCGTCGTCCTTTGTGGAGGTGCCGCTTCCCGAGGAACTGTTCGGATCTCTGTACATCTCGTCTTATACTTTCCCTTCTTGATTCTACTCGTATGTGTGTATGTATATATATATATATTATTTTTTATTATATATATATAAAAATTCTCTCTCTCTCTCTCTTTATGGCCGTATTACACCACGTATGCACGATATACAAGTTCGTTCGTCGTGATTCTGACGACAAGCGTTCGCTATTTAATTTAATCTAATCTAATCTGCTTATGATACAAGGGTGACTCGTGTAGTCGAGTAGTTTCCCTCGGATTTCCCGTTTTTATCCTTGCTCGCGCTCGGCCTCTTGAGCGATTAACACCGTGTGCAATAAAGCTGCAAAACAAGATGAAACGATCGTTCGAAACGATTCGTAGGGAAAGAAGAGGGAAGG